CCACAGAACGTTGTTCCAAAACTGCCCCTGTGCCTGACTCCCCCACTCACACCCCATTGCCCGGCCTGTGCCCTGGCTGCAGCCTCCCCAGACCCCAGGCTCCTCTCGAGGCCGCCGCCTCCCCCACCCTCAGACCTCGTTCACGCCGCTCCCCGGCTGTCTGGAAGGCTCTTCCTGCCCTCTCCGGGAGGCAAGTGCTGATAATCAGGCCTCTAGAGCCAGGGCCTCCATCCCCGAGCCCAACCCCCACCTCTCCACTCCGAGGCCCCACCCCCTTCTTCAGCGTTCCCACCCTGTTGTTTGTGTTTCCTCCCTGGCCCTGAATTCTCGCTGCCTCTCTTAAGAGCCAGTGGTGGAGTCTTGGCCTCCGTCCCTGTGAGGTTGAGGCTCATTCTGGGGAAGACGGTACTACTGGGGGAAGCCAGGCGGGTCTGGCTCCAGGGCTCCTTCTGCCCGTTACCGGCTGTGTGATCCAGGCAAGTCCTCTAGCCCCTTTCCCTGATGATCAGGTACAGGCAAATCGTGGGGCCAGGTACGGCCCCATCATGCAGGGTGTTGGGTCATGTCTGAGAAAACATTTGCCTCAGCCTGTAAAAACAGTGGATGTTGGGTGCCCCTTTTGTTTTCAGATGTTGGAACCACAAGAAGAGTGTCATATGGTGATCCCAAGCATGAACTCAGGACTCACTGCCTGGGCTCCTATCAGTGTGACCCGGGGCAAGTCACCTAACCTCTCTGCTTCCTACAAAATCAATCTAGTAGCCTTCACATTATGGGGTTGTGGGAATTAAATGGGCCATCCCTGTGAAGCCCCTAGAGGGGCCCCTGGCTCAGAGTAAGTGCTCGGCACAGTTCAGCTGATGCTATGTTCATCCACTCCAACCCCCTCATTTTGTGAAGACACTGGGTCTTGTACATGTACACATGGTTAGTTAGAAGCCCAGGCATTCCAGAAGGTCAGAACTGCGAGGGCCCCCTCTGAGCCCATCAGTACCCACCTTCTCTGACAGATGAGGAGAGAGGCCTAGAGAGAGACAGTGACCTGTCCAGGGCACCCATCCTGGTTGGGGGTGCGGGGAGGCACCGGCCCTACTCTTGTTGAGGGGGGAGTTGTGCATGGTCTGCAGACAAGCCGGGAAGAACCTGGTCTCCCAGCAAGCTTGAGGAAGGGGTGAGGCTCTAATGATGCTCTGGTGGCACTCAGTTTTCATAAACTGAGTCATCGGCTGGTGCCGTCCCAGGGCCTGCTGGGTAGGTGCTTTTCCCATTAAATTCTCACAGCCAGCCTCTGCAGGAGCCCTCATTAGGCGCATTTCGCAGATGATAGAAATGAGCCTCAGGGAGATGCCACAGTCACACAATTAGAAAATGGCAGAACTGGGATCCACACCTACCCACTCTTGTGCCATTTTCCTCCCCCTCCTCCTCTTCTCTCCCCCAGGGAAAAGCCACCTCTGTAGACCCCTTGACTGGCTAGCCAATCTCCGCTTGCATCCCCCTGTAACTGGGAGCTCATTCCCTCACAGGGCAGCTCTTTCAACTCCTCTTGGAAGAGTCTTTTGTCCCCCAAAGCTAACCTACCGCCCATTCCATAGTTCTGCAGGTCTCCATACCCCCCACCTCACCAGGGCCTGGGCACAGAATCTTCTCTGCTCCAGTCCAGAACACCCTTATCTTGACTGCTTCTGTGAGTAACAAGGGTTCCCAGGTGAAACTCTTACAATAATAATAATTTCTTTCAAAAATCTCAGCAGATCTAATTGGCTAGCTATTGTTTGAGAAACCTAAAGGAAGCCCCTCGGCATGGGGAGTGGCTGGTGTCTTGGGGGAAAGAGTCAAATAACCATGTCTACAGGTTCCCCTACTCCCATCTAGCCAAGAGGCTGTAGGGAGGACTGTAGCCAAGGATTATAGGGAGAGAGATGAGTCCGACACTCAGAACTTTCAGGTTGGGAGAGGTTGCTAATGGTATTCTCCTGAGAGTGCAGGAAATGGGAAGGTCACAATGGACTTCCAGCAGACACATGGAAAATGGTGATACAGAGGACAAGATTACCTTTCAGTTGCTCTTAATCCCATGACTCTCTGAAACATTGCCTGTATTTTGTTAGTATCCTGGATTTTATTAAGAACCATCCAGAAACAGGCACCTGGGTGGCTCAGTTGGTTAAGCAACGGCTCAGGTCATGATCCTGGAGTCTCAGGATCGAGTCCCGCATCAGGCTCCCTGCTCAGCAGGGAGTCTGCTTCTCCCTCTGACTCTCCCCCTCTCATGCTCTCTCTCTATATCTCATTCTCTCTCTCAAATAAATAAATAAAATCTTAAAAAAAAAAATGAAGCGAGAGTAGAAAAATGTTTCAGGCAAGGAAACAGCATGGTGGAGGGCCCAGGGGCAAGAGAGAGTGCATCGAACCTCAAGAGGCCCCAGCAGAGTGAGAAATCAAGCAGGAGAAGTCAAAGGAATGCAGGTCAAACTGCCAGTCCCAGAAAGCATTTGCTTTTTATCCGAGGGCAATAGGGCTAGATTTTGAGAGGGGCCAAATTATGACCAGATCTGCCTTTCGGCTGCCGTAGCGTGGAGAGTGGATCCCTAGGAGGCTCTGGCCCACCTGAGAGCTCGTGGTAACCCAGGCCAGACTGGAGCCATGGAGAAGAAGATGGACAGATGAGAACTGACTGGAGGTAAAATCAATGGAACTTGGTGATGGACCAGATGGGTTGTGAGGGAGAAGGAGAGTTTGAGATGCATCATCACCTCCCATCTTCTGGCGTGGGCAAATGAGGTGATGATAGTGCCATTTACTGAGATGGGGACATGGGCGAGGGGGCAGGCCTGAGGTGTGCCTGCAGCACATTCAAGCTGAGGTGACCACCGAGGCAGTTGGATACGCATCAGGAGTTGGGTGAAGGCCTGTTGGAGATTCAGGGTAGACTCTGGGTCCTTGCAGTGAGAAAAAGAGGTTTCTCAACCTCAGCACTATTGACGTTTTGGGTAGAGCAGTTCTTTGTTTGGAGGTAGGCCTGGAGTGTTGGCCTCATCTGCGAGGTCAGAGCTGGGTCACAGGCCCACCATGTTCCAATCCAGGGGAAGGGGAGGGTGAGCACAGGTGAGGCAGGGTTCAGGTGCGCTCCCCATGGTGTCCACTGTCATCTAAGAAAGCCTGGTCACAGGGCCACGCCTGTTTGCCACGGAAGCTGGGCAGTGTAGGCTAGGGAGGGGGCAGCAGATTTTGGCGGACAGCTGTAACCTCCTAAATGATGCGAGTGACGTGGGGGGTGGTGGCAGTTGGAAGGCATTTCCCGTGAAGGGATGAGAGCTTGTGTGGAGACTCAGGGGCAGGAGGGAGCCCCGCAAAGCAGGACTGCCTGTGGTTCTGCCCAGATCAAGTCCGCCAGCGGGGAGGAATGGGTCTTGTCCTGAGGGCAGGGAAGGCGTTTGGTCAGCCTCCTGACTTCCCACCCGGGCTCCTTCCTCCTTGAAGTTGTGTCCTTCTTGTCGTCTCCCACAGCTGGGACCTTGATACTCCTTCCTTCCTTCCTCCCTTCCTTCCTTCCTTCCTCCCTCCCTTCTTTCTCTGTCTCTTTCTCTCTCCCTCATTCCCTCTCTCTCTCTCTTTCTTTCAAAGATTTTATTTATTAATTTGTCAGAGAGAGCGCACAAGCAGAGGGAGCGGCAGGCAGAGGGAGAAGCAGATTCCCTTCTGAGCAGGGAGCCCGATGTGGGACTCGACCCCAGGACTCTGGGATCATGACCTGAGCCGAAGGCAGACGCTTAACCGACTGAGCCACCCAGGCGCCCCTTGATACACATTTCTGCCTCACCCTGAAGCTGTTTCGTTTATTTTCCTACTTTGCCAAGATGGCTGACAGCTTCTGGAGGTCAGGGCCACAGCCTGATCCTCAGTCCTGATCACTGACTCCCCAGCCTCCTAGCTGATGTTCGCGGCAGACTCCAGTCACCCCTGCACACCCTCTAATCATTGTCCCTCAAGGCTACTAATCGGATTCCTCACCCCCAACACGGTTCTGTACACTGACCTCCACAGGCTTTCCAAATACTGTCCAGATTTCCCAATCAGCGTCTTTCACAGTTTCATCATCACTGACCCCCACACTGATCCCACCCTGAACCCCCGGCTTGGTTCCCCAAGGCTGACCAACCCTGAGGCCCAGACCCTGGCAAGGAGGCTGTCTGTGACCCCGCGCACACCCCCCCATCCCGGGAGTAAGTGCTGGTGGGGCAGGTGTGCATGGGCAAGCCTATTAGAAGAGGCCATTAGCTGGGGTCGTGAGTGTGGAGGGGGCCACAGCGGTGGGATGACTGGGAATGACCACATGACCCTGGATCAGTCACTGTCCTCACTGAGTGTCAGGTTCCCACTTTGCACAGTGGGGATTTTGACCTCACAGAGGTGTCGGCGGGTGAGGGAGTGGTGGAGAGAACTGGGTGGGAGGAAGGCTGTCAGACCCCCCCAGGCTCTGCCCTGGTTGTTTCCCAGGTCCCCAGTGCGAACTGACTTGCGGGGGAAGGGAATCCATCTGCTGACCGTCAGTCCAGCTCCATCTGTACTCACTCCGGAGCGAATGATGACAACGACCACCCGTGTACTGCACCCAACAGGCGACACTGGATCCTGACTCCACCGCCCACACGGGCTCAGGGCAGGGGCCGCCCGCAGGCTCCTCCAGGGGGCAATGGAGCTGGGTTTGGAGGGTTAAAACACATCCCCCGCCCAGTGGGCTTCACTCCTAGCTGCACGTTGGGATCATCTGAGGAGCTTAGGAAATACCCAGATGTCTGAGGACACTCCAGGCCGATATAGTCAGAACTGTGGACATGGGGCCAGGAGCCAGGCCCTTCCCACCCCCGCCCAGGCGATTCCAGTGTGTAGTGGGGTCGGGGGCACCGAGCTGGGTGGGGTCGAAGATATCCAGAGCAGGGAGGATGCGTTCTCAGCACGGAAGGCGGCTCACCCTCCCACGTCCGGCCCGCCCGTCCTCAGGACACCCTCGGGCCCCGGCCACAGCTCAGCCCGGCGCTGTACAGCGCCTTCCACTTGAGCAACATCTCGTAGGGCGCGAAGCCGTGCAGGACCAGCAGCTCGCGGTACAGGCAGGGGTCGAAGGAGGACTTGGCGGCGCCGGGCAGCTGCAGGCCGAAGGGCCGGATGCCCTGGTGGCTGCTGGGCGCCAGGCCGGCGCGCTTCAGACACATGCCCATGGAGGCGTCATCGATGGGGAAGAGCGGGGTGCGGCGGGCGGCCACGCGCAGGGCCCCGGCGGGGTGGCGGGACAGGAGGAAGCCGCCGCCGCTGCAGGACACCGGGTAGGCCTCCCCGGGGAAGAGCTGCGGGGGCACAAAGTACTTGCTCCCGCTGTCGCGGATGGGCACCGAGCCGTCCATGAGCTGCCCGGCGAAGAGGTGGCGCTCGGGCTGCTGCGTGCCCAGGAAGTGGAGCACGTTGGCGGTGTGCACGAAGACGTCGTCGTCACAGCTGAGCAGGAAGCGCGCGTGCGGGCAGCGCCCGGCCAGCCAGTCGAGCAGGTGCAGGTGCTTGAGCGTGAGGTTGAGGACGGTGTCGGTGAAGGCCCACTGCAGCACGTCGCCGTGCTCGCGCGCCTCCAGCTCCACCAGCGCCGCCAGCCGGCCCGCGCTCTCGGCGTCCTCGCGCGCG